GCCCCTTAACCTAAGTAAAGCTTATGTTCTCTTAATTTGTTTCTTCCATGCATTTTGTAGCCATGAGGCAAGATAACTAACACGAATTTATCTTGAAATAAATGTATCTTTACTAGTTGGAGGTAATGTCATGCTAACTGCAAATAGACTTCTCCTAAGTACAATTGGCATACGTAATGCATGTATTTTTTAGTCTTGTGAAAAGGCCTCCAATATCCTGAAGATGCGTCAATAAGATCAACCTCACTTAGAGACAGCAAAACAGAGAGAGAAGTGCTTAGCACATTATGATTCATTATCTCTTTTTCATAATTGATAAACTTTACTTTCAATTTTTTCTTGGAACTGCATGTTCTTTTCAGAATAAAGAAAGTTTACCTGATTACGGTAGATATGGGTACATTACAACTTTGTATGCAATTTCCTTTGAAAATTTACATTCCAATGATTTTTAAGCTTTCTTCTCCCAATATAGTGACATCTAAATATTTACTGGTTATAAATTTAGTGGAATTATGAGGTAACACTATAACATATCTCCTCTAAGGTCTTTTATTACCATCTCACTAACATGCATATATGAGCTAACATAGAGAAATGACCGAGGGAATATTACAGAGCTGTTGTGCATCTTGTAATTACATCCATTGACATTTCTCCCTTTGTGGAAATGATTTCCCTCACAAACTTCCCTCTTCAAATCTATCCTTCACACAGTTCAATAGCAGCAGCAAGGGCTAAATCTCTACTGCAACCACAATTTAGCTACTTTCAGAGTGTCTGATTCTATTACTGTCGCTGAAACCAAAAACATTTCTCACTTGGGAAATCATCATATATTGTCACTGAACTTTCTGTTTTTTTCTGCTACATGTGGAAGTTTTCATTATGAAAATAACCACAATGCATGCCCTGGATTTGGATATGGCAATCATTTTTGCTTCAGAATTTCCCATTTCTCTCAGCTTATGTGCTTAAGCACCCAGAAAAAACTAGGGGACATACTCTGTTCATAGAGAATGTGAACTTCATGTCAAGTCTCATAAAAGGAGACAAAGGAGGACACTATATACTTGTTAAGGGAAAACAAAAAAGAGATAACTATCACAACTATATATGTAGTAAATACAGGGCACCTAAAAGTATAAAACCAATATTAAGGGATGAGAAAAATTAAATAGGCACTAGCATAAGTGTAATTGGAGAACTTAATACCACATTGTCAAAATAGATAGACCAACACGACAAAGTTTCAACCAAGAATTATCTTTCATGAACTCCAGTGGGCTGCCCTGGGCTAGAGAAACACCTCCCATCACCTCTCCACTATGGCAGGACTCTGAACGGAGAGAGGCTTCCACGGTGGTTATTTTCTAGAGGATCATATTGGGCAAGAATTACCCTCACAAAATTATTCCACAAATTCTGTACATCCTCTCTATTTTGTCTCTTCCAAAGCCTGTGTTTGTCTTTTGACTTTCAATGACAATGTTGTCCTGTTAGGCCTGACTTACCAGCCTTGTATGTCAAGATAACATTAAACAGTGTATACCAAAATTTTCATGCCTTCATAGCCTAATGATAATGCACAGTGTTTCATCTTAGGTGTTTAAACTTTGAGTAGGGTGTGCTCACACTCTGGAGATCACCTGATAAGTCGGGGTATCTGATGCATTGTTTTCTTCTTGGAGTTTCTAATCTTGACTCGTACATCACCATTTTCAATGGGTATGTTCTGTGCACACTACTTAGTAACTAAATTTCTTCTAAGGGAATAAGTATACTCCAATATGGCTCATGATATAAATATTTTCAGAAATCTGGGTCTCAAAAGTTTAATTCTTGGAAATTAGCAATGAACTTATAACACTTTACTCCCTTCCCCTCTTTTGAATCATTTCCTCCTGTCCTCCTCAAACCTTCACTGTTTTAACACATTTAGAGATGAGCACTGATCTACAAATTCAATCTTAATGTTTCCTAAATAACACATAAATGTGATAAGAAGTATGATAGTCATGAAGCAAAATTTATCTTCCACTGGAAATCTGTAAAGCAAAACAAATGATTTCTTTGAGAATACAATGGTGGGAATGAACACCACATAGTGAAAGTGTGTAACTTGATGTGACTCTAACAGCACCAGATCTGTCTTCCCCCAGAAGCATTTTTGTCACGATCTCATCTCTCAGCAAGGATGTCAGCTTAGTACCAACATTGTCATGGAAAGCACAGGAAAGGAGATAATACAGGATTCAGAATGTTGCAAGTTCTTTGACATCTGGAGACACTTGAAAATTTGCACCATACATTTCAAGGACAATGCCCCTGAAATGAAAGACTTAAACAGAACTTTGAACACAGATGTTTATTGGGGTCTTTCTACATAATGACCCCTGCTTTCTCTTCTCTATCCTTAAAAAGGAGATACCCTTCTGTTTGTTTCAGGATGACAGTCTGATAATATTCCTTGTCTCCCTCACCCAGACATAATAAACTCTGTGCCATGTTGCATTGGCACAAATCTTGGGTCTCTTCATGTTTCTCCTCTCCATCTGTACATTGCATATGTTATACAAATATATTCCAATTATAGATAATGTAAATTAGAGTGAGGTGAAAGATCAAGGTCTTAGCAATATTTACGTTCTAATTTCGGTCTGATTATGAACATGGAAGTCTTTGTGTTCTTCTCTTGACCAGAGGTGTCAGCAGTACTGACCTACTCAAAATGTTTTGAAAAATTTCATATGTTTATTTCATGTATCTCCATCCTCAAAATACTAGAGCTACAAGTTTTTTGGAAAGGAGAGATTTTTTTTTAGCAAATTTCCATGCAGTATTTTCATTAGGATTGATACCAAGTGCATAAGCATATGAAATCTTTACCTATTGGCTGTTTATGTCTCATGGCAGCCACTGGGTGTGTCAGTTTCTTGTATCATACTGTAGAGAAAGTTGCAGGACCAGCAGGAAAAGTTTAGAATGACAGTGTGCATTCTGGCAAATAAAGAGTTAATCCCTCCTAGAAAGAGTAGCTAAGAAAAACAGTAAACTGAGAAGAAGCTTGGGTCACTTTGATGCCATAGCTGCAATTCCTGTTTTGAACACTTTCACTTAAACACAAAGGAGCCAACTGGGTCAGAGGTTATAGTATAAGCTCACTTAGTTTGTAAGTCATACACTGTGACAAGGATACATTCATTCTTTAATATATAGTTCTCTCAAAACATCAAAACACTAATGAACACTATTTTTTTAAACTAACTTGGGCTTAAATGTGGGGCACTTCCATGATATCACATTGAATACCTTGGCAAAGCAACAACAATAACAACAACAACAGCAACAACAACAACAAAACAAAGACAGATTATTCAACAATGTGCAGGGCTAGGGAGATAGCTCATTAGAATAGGTGTTTACCTGGCAAGCACAAGGTCCTGAGTTCAATCCTCAGTACTGGAAAAACAAACAAACAAACAAACAAACAAACAAAACAAAAACAACAACAAACAACAAAACAAAACAAAAAACAATGTGCACATAGGGTAAAGAAAAGGAAACTAGCTGAGTCAGGGTCTCAGTTCTTAAATCTGTAAGTCAAGCAATAATATTGCTGAATGGGAAGATTTGTTTACTTGATGGATAAGAAAATCTGAGAACAAAGACCTCAGATTACTGGATCCTTATTTCCTCTTTCCAACTAAGTGATTTTTGTTCCTTCTTTTAAAATTAATTCTCTAATTCTCTTATTGATTTATATTCATGAATTCTAGATAAAAGTGCACCTCTACAAGTGTGACAATATTTTTCTGTCATGATGATTTGCCCTAACACATGCCTCAAAGGAGTAGGGTAAAATCATCATTTCAAGAAATCTCAGAAATCAGAAGATAAATTGATTGTTATTCTTTGGAAGCATTTTATTAACATATTTAATAAAAGAGATGGGAAGTGCACTATTAGGGTTATTAAAATTAATATATTTAACCCCCCTTTTTAGCATTTCTTTATTATATCACAATGCCATATTTCTTTCTTTTTTGATATAATATTAATTTTATTGAGAAAGAAATATCATTGAGACAGTTTCAAAACAGGTTAGTAGGATAGTTACAATAATTAATAAATGGCATATTATTGTCTTCATAGTATTTATAGTACAAGATGGAGATATAATATCTTGTCTAAACACTATTAGTACAAATCTTTCTTCACACTGAACTAAGAGAATGTAGCT